TCCCGACGCAGCAGAGGGGCACTCCGGTAAGCAAGCGTCCATGCCGCCTTGTAACAGTGGAACTACTGATGCGTCTTCGCGATCGGGTTGGCGTCATATGAGCACAGTGGTGGCTCTGGGACCCCAGGGGACGACGCTTACGAGCTAGGTATCTTTGCTTCTCGCTTTTGGACCTTCATCGATGAGCGTGTGGCACATTGGACATGTTATGTGCATGTTGGACTTGTATGGATTCGTTTTGGACATGTATCGTTGTATTTGGGACCTTTATGTATGGATTCATGTGAAACCTGAATTTTATTGTTAAATCTTATTTGTTTGATGATATTATTGTGAATTCTCGTGTTCAAATGTGATGTGTATGCAATATGTGGCTTAAATGTGGTTAAATGCAAGCTGAAATGAGGAAAAAATTGAAAAAAAAAAATTGGTTCCCAGCTTTGCCGACAGAGAAGCGATCGGCAAAGCGGGTTTCGACCCGCATTCCAACTTTGCCGACAGGATTACAGGCGATCGGCAAAATGACCAAAAACTTTGCCGACAATACAATACGACCGACGGTTGTCGGCAAAGGCTTTGCCGAAACCACCTTGTCGTGATGGTCGGCAAAGTCTTTCTTAAACGGTACCGTAGGGTCGGTATCGCAAAGCTCTCAATCGTGGTTGATGGCCGCGTCGGCGTTCGATCGTGATACGGTGGTTGTCGGCAAAGGCTTTGCCGAACGACTTGATTGCGTGGTGTCGGCAAAGAAGTCATTGCCGACTAATTCTTTGCCGACGGATCTTTGCCGGCGACCACGTGGAGAAACGGTCGGCAAAGCCTTTGCCGACAGAAGCTGCTTTTGCCGATCGCTTTTCGGTGTAGGCAAAAGGACACATTTTCTGTAGTGGTAGGAGCAAGGACCCATCAATTTGCACCAACGATGTTGTTGTCAAGGATCGTCGTTGGGCGCTGGACTATCTCTTTGTGGTGCCAATCGATCTGCTGCTGCACTAACACCGTTGCCTTCCCTAGTCCTGCAATAGAGGTCTAGGCTGTGATTGCCAAGAACTAATGCGCCAAGATCGCCTTCGCTTGCCTCCACAATGAGGTTCGTCCTGCCGAGGGGCTGTGGGTGACACTTGGTAGCTGTATGGTGGAGAACTTCATCTTGGGCATATGTCGAGCTTGAGGGCCTTGTGACTTGGCCACGACGGGCGCAGGCGGGCGCCCATGAGGGCGAGGGTGGTCTTGATGGCGAGGCGGGCTGTGAAGGCAGCGATGTCTGTGGCGTTAGTGAGGAGAAAGAAATGAGAGAAAGAGAGAAAGCGCGCGCCGGCCGAGCGCGGGTGAAGGGATAAGGGCGGCTTTGCCGAGTGCCAGATCGGCGGCACTTGGCAAAGTCAATTTTCTTCGCCGAGTGTCGTGATTTGGCACTCGGCGAAGTTTAAAAAAAAAATTCAGCAGCTCAACAAGTTTCACATGTGGAGATGTCCTGGTTTGTGAGCATCGTACGTGACAACGTGGTCGAAACTTTTTCAAATTTTTTCCACGGCATACGCATACGATATGGCGACAACTCGACAAGTTTCATGATTTTCGGAATTCGTTCGCATTTTATACAATTAAAAAACCACTCCCACGCAAGTTGGCGGCGTTGCCCCGTGAGCACGTTGATCGAAATTTCGAGACAGTTCCTGAATTTAGCCTAAATTTACACTAAGAAACAAGGATAATATTTTTTGAACGAATGTAATCCATTATTCGATGCACCTGCAGTTCAAACTTACATTTTCTGGAAAAATTCAACAAAACAAAATAAACTATAGAAATATGACAAAAGGCAATGAAAATATCCCAAATTTAAACATGTTGTTTGTGGTAGTGTACTAAAGCTTCAAAAAAAATTGGTGGCAAAAAACCAAAAAAAAAAAAATTGCCGAGTGCCAAACGGAGGACACTCGGCAAAGAGGATGCCGTTAGGCCCCTACCAATCTTTGCCGAGTGTCTGCCTTGGCAAAGACAGCCTTTGCCGAGTGCAGGTCTTTGCCGAGTGCCATATTTTGCCGAGTGCGGCGCTCGGCAAAACAGATCTTTGCCGAGTGCCTGAAATTTGGCACTCGGTAAAAATTTTTGCACTCGACAAATCACGTGTTTCCCGTAGTGAGCATATCGTTTGCAGCTTCATGCACCCAGCAGACGCAGCTGTGCACGTACTGGCGAGACCACAGAGAAGGTAAGTTCGTCCACGCATAGCTTGGATTGCTAAAAGACGCGGCACATCGCCATTGCCCGCTGGCTGAAGAGAAGGCAAAGGCCACAACCTTCACAACCTTGGTTTTCGACAGAGCAGTGCACAACACCAGGAACCCCTCATCATCATCCCTCTCGTCCTCGGCGGCAGCGACCGGTGCGAGGAAGGGATCATCGAATGTCATTGCCTCGTTATTGTCATCCTGCTTAGTAGATAGTAGCAGGTCTCCGGGGATGGTCGGAATCTGGACGTGCCGCCGGTGCACGGGGTCGTAGACCACGAGGTCCTCGAAGATGTAATGGGGATTAGGGCACCGGGTGAGGAGGATGCGGCTGTCACGGACGTCAGTCTCACAGACGTGCCAGCGTTTGGGGTCAGGGAGGAAAGAGAAGGTGAAGTCGGCGGCTTTCGCGAAGACGCCGGCAGCTAGAGCGGAGCGCCGCGGCGACTGGGCCGGAAGGAATTCTGTGTCGCGGTGACTAGGATCGTCGAGCAGCAACCCAAGGACGGGCCGGCGGTGGACGGACCTGAAGCGGCGGAGGAAGCGGTCGTTGGAGACGACGACGCGGCGGAAGGAAGCGCAGGCCGCGGAGGCGCGGGCGAGGTCGGCCACGTCGTCGAGGCGGAGGAAGATCTCCTCCAGGAGATCAATGGGGAGGTCGGACGCCATTAATCCCATGGTCGATCGGCGCAGGCTGGTGATAGATCGATGCAGCCAGCGTCCATGTATTTGTGGGTGGCTGGGTGCAAATAGAGCAGATTACTACAGCTCGTAACCGCCTTAGAGAGACTGATAATAAAGGACTCTTTGACATGACTCATCCAAAACGACTTCACCGGTGAAGTCAAAACCGGTGAAGCTAGAAAAACTAGTTTTTTTTGGCTTCTAATTTATTTTATCCCCAGTTTATAAAACGGCTTCACGCTACAGTGCCTCGATTTGCGTAAAATAGATGAAGCCGAAGCCGGCATAAGCCGTGCCAAAGAGGCCCTAAGTAAGACATAAAGAAATGGCAACGTATCAGGTGTAAACTAACCAACTTGTGCAAATTTGAAAACTACCGATCAGGACCACTAGATGCTGATCTAATGGATGGGGTGAGAGGTGGGATTTTTTTGCGCTTAAGCCCTCCACCCGTCGGCCTTTTTTTTGCGCTTAAACCCCCTCACACCATCCATTAGATCAGCATCTAGTGGTCCTGATCGGTAATTTCCAAGTTTACATGGGTTGGTTAGTTTGCACCTGATATGTTGCCGAAAGAAATAGTATAACTCAGCTAAATACAGTTATATCTTTTCTTTTCTCTATCTCTGTACACCTAAAATACCTATTGTTATCGTATTGGCTCCGCTCGCGCCCCTCCGTCAAAATACGTGTCGTACGACGAGACTCCCTCGATCCTGTACTCCTAAGCGACCGCCCCGCTCTCCACGACTACGAAGCGCGTACCTCAGCCAACATCTACGGAGTCCGAACGGTTGGCGGCCTCAACAGATTATTCATTCAAAAAAAACCTACATCACTGCCACCTCCCGTTCCTGAAGATGAGCGCTCACGCAAGCTCGCATTGCCGCCGTCCGCATCCGTCGCCGGCTACGTATCCGTGCGCGCTTACACACGCACGCGAGCTTGCCCCTCGCGCACCGCCTCGCTGGCGCCGCTGCAAAGACCGGTCATCCCGCCACCGCAGCCCAACAATGGCCAATCCGCTCAACGGCTCAAGAGTGAGTGCCTTGCGCCGTCACAGATGCTCGAGCTTGGGACGACGACGCTGCTCGCTGCTCGTGCGCACCGGCTGGGCTGCTTTATAGACGCGCCTCGCATCCCCTCGGCCACTGCTTGACTCGCGTCCTCGTTGGCACCATCGCAGCTCGGGCCGATGAGCCTGGCCGCACACGCAGTTGTTGCCACCCATCGTGGCCGCTTGCGATCGCGAGCTCGGTGGTCAACGTCGTCGCGGCCCCTCGAGCTTGAGCTAGCCACGCTGCTCGCGGAGAGCCCTGCCGCGCACAGATGCAGCCCCTTTGCAAGCAACCACTTAGGCATGCAACTCGGTCTCTGGTTGGCCGTCGCTGTTGGCAAGCACGTCGCTGGCACACAGCTCGTGCTCGCAAACAGCAGGCACCAACCACGGAAGGACACAGAAAAAAGATGCGAAGAGAAAATATGACTAATAATACTAGATAGTAATTAGTGATGTGGCACCCATGAGAAACTATGAGAGTTGGAGATGAGCCTCCTTGGATCCTTTGCCACGCACTGTGGTGATTTACCGAACGAGGATAGCAAGTACGGATGCGTGTTTCGGTATTTGTTCCTCAACGCAAGTTTTTTCTGGATTGTGCTGGCAAGGTTTAGCTTGCTCGAGAGGGAGAGCCAAAACGGCTCGCCCGAGCAGCCAATTTTCTCGTTACCTGCATCGGCACAAGTAGATGAGGCCGGACCTTCATCCACTAATTTTTTTAAGTAGGATTAACTTCCACAGATCTTCTATGACTTGTGACAATAATAATTCAACAAGCTTCTGTATCTAAATAAACTTTCTTCGTCCGTACCCCATGCATAGGTGGGATTGAAGAGCATTCAAGGCCCTGCACTGGCCAATTAACTTTGTCCTCTCTCCGTGAGGTGTGGAGACCAACAAGAGCTAGGACTCGCCTTAGGTGCAATCCTGGTACATTAATATGATCCAGTTAGAAATCAAAAGCTGACATTGTTAAGACATATAACAAAGAAATTAAAGAAAGAAAGAAGGTTGTTACCATTTCATATAGTAGGCGGTGAAAACGGTGGCGGGAAGCTTGCATAGAGAAATTCGGGGACACTACCATATTTCAACACACCCAGATTCTCAAGCAGCAATGTCTTGAGGTCCACGGTGAAGTAGTGTGCTTCAGATGGGTGATTCATAGGATCAAGCACAGAGAGATCGACCTGGTCCATTGGATGCCCTCGTAGGACAGCGTAGCCGTCTGCTGCAACACTGAGGATCCATAGACCGGCAATTGGCAGTGGAATTGTATTGTCGTGCCGCCACTCTTCAGCAGGTTCTGGAACGAAGACACCACCATTATTTCCTTGCCAAGCCTTACTATACAGCTCCAACTTGTTGTCGTCAACAAGTAACAGACCAAGCCTGCCTACCCCTGCCTCCACAGCGATTTTAGAGTGTCCGTAGTAGCTTGTTTGCGGGATGTCAGTGATGATGATGATGGAGAACCTCATCGTCCCGCACGTGTCAAGCACGAGCACGAAATTTTCATAAGAATTCGTCCAGTAGAAGCAGCTGCGCACAGACTGGCGAAACCACACTGAAGACAGCTTCGTCCATACATAGATTGGGTTGGTAAAAGATGTGACGGCTCGCCATTGTCTGCCGGCCGAAGAGAAGGCGAAAGCCACCACCTTGGTTTTGGACAGAGCATTGCACATCACCCGGAACGACAGTTCGTGACCATCTCTGTCGTTGGCCTCCGGCGCCGGTGCGAGGAAGGGCTCAAACTCGAGTTCCTGCTGGTCACCACCGTGCTCTGTGGAGGCCGCCGCATCTAGTAGATCGTCGGGGATGGGCGGAATCAGGACATGCCGCCGGTGCAAGGGGTCGCAGACCACGAGGTCCTGGAGGGCGTACGAAACAGATTGGAACCGGGACCGGGAGAGGAGGACGCGGCCGTCACGAGCGTCGCGGACGCGCCAGCACTTGGGGTGAGGGACGAAGGAGAAGGTGAAGTCGGCAGCTTCTGCGCAGGCACCGGCGGCCAACGCGGCAAGGCGCGGCGACTGTGCAGGGTAGAATATTAGGCCCGTTCGCTCGTCTGAACTTTGGCTGAAACTGGCTGAAAAACACTGTTCCGGCTGAATTGTTGTGAGAGAAAAACACTGTTCCGGCTGAAAAAACAAGCCGAACAAGCCAAATTTAAGACAAGCGAACGGGGCTATTATTTCACGGTTTTCACCACCGCCACGATTCTCGAGTAACCCTAGGGACGGGCGGCGGCGGTGGAGGGACGAGGACCTGATGAAGCGGCGCAGGAAGCGGTGGTCGGAGACGATGCGGCGGAAGGAAGTGCAGGCAGCGGAGGCGCGGGCGAGGTCGGCCGCGTCGTCGAGGTGGAGGAAGATCTCCTCTAGGAGATCGACGGGGAGCTCGGACGCCATGGATTGATTGCGTGTGGTCGTCGCACGGCTGGTGATAGGTGCAAGTACAGCGGGATATTATTAAAACCACCACGTTCATGTTTTAATTATTCGTGGGTGGAAATCATAATCGAATTGCATACCGATCGATACATTTTTTTAAGCAAGCCATGACAATACAACTTCGAATAACAATAGTAACAATACAACTAAATAAACATGGACTTCTTTTTTAGAAAACTAGACTTTTTTAGAATTACACAAGACAACGTGAGCGCTCACGACACGCACACGCGAGCACAATCACATATGCAACCCTACCGTATGACCTTGAAGGACCGAGCGGTAGATCTTGGACTCCTATAAACTACTAACATCGACTATATGGCCCGCGGCACTGGTAGCCGCACGAACCATGGTTTTTGGGCGGCGAAATGCAATCTGGTCGAGTGGCCAATGTAACCAACCCAGCCTGCCTCCGTAGCTCAAGCATATCAGGCAGCACAGCACTACCCATAAAAAGGCCACGGTTCCGTACTAGGTTTGCTAATAGGATAACGACTCCAACCCTAGGCCAACACTCCACTCGGCCACTCGCGACTCCTAGTCCCAAATCCCAACCCACGCCACCTCGACCGGTCACTGGCGTGCATCGACGAGGGACAACGAGTTCTAGCGAACTCCGCACGTCATCGATGAGTGATGACAAAGACCGCAAGAAGCTGGCGACAAGGGCTATTCTTTGGAAGATGAGTCGATGATGAACTCCGTGCCGTCATCGTCAGCGAGTGACAACGAATGCCTAGATAGGCTGCTAATGAGGGCTCTTTGCGGGACAACGAGACGACGACGCGAGAGCGCGGCAAGCAATCGACGAGGAACACCGTGTGATGAGTTGACAACATAATTCTCGGCGTCTAAAGGTAGTGTCATCGCCGGAGCAAGATCGCTGATGTTGTTGACAAAGTGTCGACGAAAACACGGCCGGCGTCTACCGAGGGGTATGTTCACGATAGTAGATGAATCGGTGGAGGCTCGCGTGATACGAACTAGATGGTGACATAGGCGCAGAGACAGCGATTTAGACAGGTTCAGGCTGTCAAGTCGACGTAATACCCTACGTCCTGTGTCTTTGGTGGATTGTCTATTATGATGAGATGTAACCCTAAGCTAAGCCTAGGATCTCGATGGTCATGCCGACTAGGGGACCCTGCCCCTCCTTATATACTTTGGAGGGGTAGGGTTACAAGGAAAGTATCCTAATCGGTTATATGGTAGGATTACAATATCTCTGAGAGTCCTAATAAATCATATCTCCAAGATGCTTTGCGGTGTACGCCAACCAGTGCCGTGCGCCACAAGTCTTGATCTTGTGGGCTATGTCCCTTGCCATGGGTACCTGGGGGTATATCACCCACACAAAGGACCGTACCTGGCACACCAACTATGATGGATTATCTTCGGCAATACATATCAACGTACTATTATGCACATTGAATCATATGGGTGACACTTAAGACATTAATTTATACTGGTTCAGGCAAAGGGTTCCCTAGGTCCAATGAAGAATTGATCTTTTATCTTGAATGCTCAAGGTTTACAGGGCCGCTGATGGCTATGCGAGCTTAAATTCCTGGTATGCTAGTGTTTGTAGTTCGGATCTAATGAGGTACCAATCGGAGGCTCCCTACCTTAGTTTATATGGTCCAGGGTGGGCTTATAGATGGCGTTTCGACCAATTTGCATAAAGATAAAGATTTTCTAGTTCGTTAGAAGAAAATCTATCAGGCAGAGTTGATTTCTAAGTACATCTTTACATGCCTCGTCTTCCAAGTCCGTGATATACCCCGTCTGGGTTAGGCCTCTCCTTTGACTGCTTCGTCCCACCCTGCCCTAGTTGGGATCTTCTTGAGGTGGTGAGTACCCTAAGTCCATATCACATTCACACGAGTCTAAGGACACCGCAATGGTTAGAGCTAGTTACTAGCTCTAAGCCAACTTCTCCAATAGTACTAATGTTTAGCATATAGCTTTTAACATGGATAGCCCCATATGACACTCTCACACAACATTGAAATGTGTGCAAGAGCTTAACTCTTCATCAAGAGCTAGCTTTTCTCTCTTTTATTAAAATATGAAAAAAAATGCTTAGAGCCAACTTTAAAGCCAATTGTTGGAGTTGACCTAAGCGCTTTCAAGGCAGTTCCTAAGCGTTCTGTTGATATATTATTATATATTCAAAAGCGGTAGTGCTAGCGCCCGGATGTTCGGACGGATGCCCGCGTCCGGACGCCCGGCCTGCACCCCGTTCCCTACCGCGACAAACGCAGCTCCCTCCGCCCGAACGGAGCTCCTGCGCTTGCGCCCAACGCACGCAATGCCCGCGCCCATCCCGCTCAGGTTGAGCTTGAACTGCCACGGCTAGATGGAGGAAGGGAAGGGAGGGGGAGAGGAGAGGAGATTGCGAGACGCTTCGCGCGAGGAAGACGTGAGGTAGGAGCCGAAGCCCTGCGGCACGCCGCTCTCCGCCAGCCACCGGCGCCGTGCAACACCTTTGAAATATCCAAATGAAATATATGCAACATACGTTTGAAGATAGATAAAACACTATAAACTTGTGTTTAAAACATGCTTGTATAGCCATTGCAACATGTGCAACACCAGATCAACTTTTGAAACATCCAGATAAAACATTTGAAACAAACGTCTGAAACACATAAAATAATTGAAACATAGGCTTGCAACATGCATATATTGCCATTGCAACATATGCAACATTCCATATTGACTTTTGCAACATTCATATGAATCACTTGAAACATTAGTCTGAGATACCTGAAACACTTGAAACATGGCGTCATCGGTGACCATGGGCTACCTGGTGGGGGACTGTGGTGCCCAGCAAGCTTTGGAGAACGAGGACAGCGACCACAACCTCAACAGCAAGCGCTGCCGCGTGTCCTCACACCACCGCCGCCGGGACACGGAGCCGGAAGCGGCGCTCACTACCAGGAACCAAGAGGGGGCATGGGGACTGATTAGCAGTGGCTCGAATGACGAGATGGAGCACCGCCGCATCTACATCAAGGATTGGCGGGAGAAGCCGATGTGAGCAGCAAGGTGCCACTGGGCCTGAGCCTGAGGCGAACAGCGATGTCGGGCGGGAAGAAATGGACCTTGGAGACGAGGAATCTGTTGAGGAAGAGGATGACACGGATTTGGACAGAAGGGATAAGCGCAGTGGAGTTTATTTATTTATTTTGAGAGAGCGCCAGGGCGGATGAGTGGAGCGTGCACTTGCTGTGTTTCCGTACATGAGTTTCTCGGCACTCTTTTGCATGGTTTGGTCCCTTGTGATGAGCGTCTATGTGAAAGAAATGGTATCTGAGTCTGCTTTCTTCTTTCTTATATGATCTTCATCTGCCATTCTATCTTAGTATTCTCCATGTGATAAACGAATGTATGATCTGTTTAAGAAGAGATACTAATTGCTTACTGTCTTCAGCCTGCGTATCGTTTCACGCCTTTAAAACTTACTCTAAAATAGTATACTCTAACAAGGATTCTACAGAACCTGCCTCGAGTATTACAGTATTAGAGATGGCCTAGTATTGTGCAGTTTCACAAGGACAGTAACTTATCTTCCGTGTTTGATAATCAGACCATGTTTTAGATACATGTCATTTTGACTTAAAATTATTTCTTCCTGAAATTTATGCAGAGTTAATATGACACTATGCAGTCTTTCTGCAGATTTTGTATTAACAATGCATTTTTCCACACCAAAATGTTAACACACCCTCTGGTACACAGAATCTAGTACACATATAATGCATTTTCTGTGCTTTTGGTGTCTTATTTGCTCTAAAATATTTAAGATCTCCCTTTTAGCAACTTTTTTTCACGATCGGGAATATAGCCCATTTTTCATTAAGGAGAGAGAATTACTTAACGCACGCAGACTACGAGAAAACCCTCATAGCATGGATTACAAACCACCAAGCTAGTGGTGAGTAACCTGGAGTAGAAACTACGAACAAGAAAAAAAGATACAAAAGAGGGCGACTGCCCACGACACCTAAAACCTACGAACTGAGCCTGTAAGAAGAAAGATACAACATCGCAATGGTCGCCTACACATAAGACCGTCCAGCAACAACGGTGGCAAAGCATCCGCCAACAAACCAAACGGCGGCAAAGCATCCGCCAATGAACCAACCAGCGGCCAAGCATCCGCCGGGGAAATAGCGAAGATATCCACTATGGCAAAGCATCCGTAGCGGGGGAAGGGCCAGGTCACTCTCGGCAGCAAAGCATCTGCCAGAGAGGAGGCCAACGACAATGGCGGCAAAGCATCCGCCAACAACGGCAGCAAAGCATCTGCCAACGAACCGACCAGCGGACAAGCATCCGCGGGGGGATAAGCAGTAGTGGCAAAGCATCAGCTACGATATCCACGACAACAAACAGGGTAAGGTCAACAGTTGCAGGACATACCAAAGCGAGTCGAGATGAACCGCAACAGGCACAGTGAGGGACTCCTCAAGGAACCGACGGCAGGAACTAGGCTGATTCTTCAGCGGCGCCTTCAGGAAGGGGAGGACGTCCATGGCAGTGACATGGACGCCGTCGCCGCTAGTCTTAGAGGCCTCTAAGGCAGGGCTTTCGCCCAGAACCCAGCACTGGTGGAACAAGAGCAAGGGGCTCGGAGAACGACGCCTCCAGGGAGGTATGTGGCGCCAAAGGCGTCACCGTCGTCCGCCCAGCCACTACCGGACTGACCTTTCACCCAGAGCACCATGCATCCAGAAGCACCGCCCCCACAAGGGGGAGAAACACCGCGCCACCATCCGCAAAGCAATAGATCCGGGGCGGGGAGGGCAGATCCTGGAACCGCCCCGCCGGCCGGCCGGTTCACCGGAGAAGGTAGGTGTCGGGGATGGGGGGCGGACGGCCGCAGGCCAACCCTAGCCAACCGCTACCCCCGCCAAGATCCGGGCAGCCGCGGACGGGCCGGCCAG